ACCCCCATCGCACGCAGCTTCGGCCAGCATCAATGCGGTCGTCGGAAAAGGAAACTTCCCCGGCACATGCTTCGGCTGTGGGAAGCAAGGGTACCGACGCTTCGAGTGCCCCAATTGTAAGGACAAGCCTTACACAAAACACGCCGACGCGCGGGCTACGGTTGCCTCGGGCTCCACCCAGGCTGCGACAAGCGCCCCCGTCACGACATCACCCTTAGCAAGTATAAGTGCCGCTTCAGCGAAATCCGAGCAATTGGAGCTGGCGAACTTAATGGCACAGGTGAAGTCAATGCGCGAGGAGCTCGAGCACTATCGGGCGATGAAGGAGGAGGGTTTTTGATCCGGTCCGCGCTTTGTGCCGCACGCGTTGGGCCGCATATATCCTGTAACAAGTATAACGTATTGTCGACTGCAATGGTGTATGAATTGGACCAGGGGTCCCAACACTTTCACATTCCAGTCCGACTTCAAGGGAAAAGACGGCACAAGGACATAATCACTATGGTGGATAGTGGAGCCACCACAAAGTTTATCAACAAGCGATTCATTGAAGAGAATAAGGTGCAGACGCAGAAGCTAAAAGAGCCGATTCCGCTGTACAATATCAATGGCACCCTAAATAAAGACAGAAGCATCTCAGAAGTAGCAGTGCTACAGATGCACATAGGAGAACACGTCGAGAAGACAGTGTTCACGGTCACGGACATAGGTCCAGAAGATGTGATCGTCGGGTTGGATTGGCTGCGAGAGCACAACCCTGAAATCGATTGGGAGTCAGGCTCCCTGAAATTATCACGATGCCCTGAAACGTGCAGTACCAGAAAGACTGGCCAGATGGAGCAAGCAGCGACTACGCGTGATACGGGGGTCAGGCCCATGGCGCGCAGATGTTCGCCGAAGTCCAAACGGTCGGTCATAGGTGCCTGCCGGAGTAAGGTACTCCCGGACTTCGAACCCAAAGAAGATCCAGTGGGAGTAGAGTGGGATGAGACCGATTTGATCGAAGCCTGGGAGCAAGGTATCACGCTTCCCGGCGCCCCTTAGCTGCTTGTCGCAGCGGGGCATACGTACTCTCAGCTGTTCGCTGAGGAGGAGATCAAAAAGAAGGTCGTCAAAACCACCAAGGAGTCGGTACCCAAACAGTACCACGAGTTTCTGAAGGTCTTCTCGAAAGAAGCATCAGAGCGGTTACCCAAAAGGAAGCCATACGACCATGCGATCGAACTCGTGCCCGGCTACTCAACGTTCCACTCGAAGGTGTATCCCTTATCGAACAATGAGCAGGAGGAACTCGATAAGTTCCTAAAGGAGCAGCTGGTGAAAGGCTACATATGGGAATCAAAGTCGCCCATTTTGTCTCCCTTCTTCTTCATCAAAAAGAAGGAAGGGACACTTCGACCCGTACAGGACTACCGCCGGTTGAATGCGATTACCGTCAAGAATCGCTACCCCTTGCCGCTGATCGCCGAAATGGTAGACAAGCTCCGCGGTGCCACGCTCTTCACGAAGTTCGACGTCCGATGGGGATACAACAACGTCCGGATCAAAGCCGGTGATGAGTGGAAGGCGGCCTTTGTAACTAACCAGGGGCTGTACGAACCCCTGGTGATGTTCTTCGGCCTCACCAATTCCCCCGCAACTTTCCAGGCCATGATGAACGAGATCTTCCATGATCTCATTGTCGGTGGGAAGATCCTCGTGTACCTAGATGATATACTCATCTTCTCCACCAATAAGGAGGAGCATGAGAGGGTCACACGCGAGGTTCTTCGCCGCCTTCAGGACAACGATCTATTCCTGAAGCCTGAAAAGTGTGAATGGGATGTTCCCAAGGTCGACTACGTCGGCTATGTGTTCGGTGGCGATGAGGTGGCGATGGATCCCGCGAAGCTAAAAGGAATTAATGAGTGGCCGGTACCCCAGAACAAAAAAGACGTTCAGAAGTTCCGGGGGTTCTCCAACTTTTACCGCCGCTTCATTAAGGACTTCGCTAAGATCTCGCGACCACTCGACCAGCTCACAGGGAACGACCCATGGCATTGGGGCGAAGAGGAGCAGCACGCCTTTGATGAGCTCAAGCAGCTCTTCGCGATGACCCCAGTCCTAGCGCTGTACGATCCTAATCGAGAAACGCGCATTGAAGTTGATGCCTTGGGCTACGCCACTGGCGGCATGTTGATGCAGAAGCAGGATGATGGCAAGTGGCACCCTATCGCCTTCAGATCTCATGCTATGGACCCTGCCCAGCATAACTACGAGATCTACGATAAGAAGATGCTCGCGATCATTGAGGCACTAGATGACTGGTGCCACTATCTAGAGGGGTTACCCAATCAGTTCGAGATCGTGACCGATCATAAGAACCTCGAATACTGGCGCACGTCCCAGCACCTCACGCGTCGCCAAGCGCGATGGTCGCTGTTCCTAGCCCGCTTTGACTTCCGCATCACACACAAGGCCGGAACGTCGAACGGAAAGGCTGATGCCCTATCACGCCGATCAGACCATCAGATTGGCGATGAGGACAATAACACCAATCAGGTGGTTCTTAAGCCAGAGCGCTTCCGCATCGCCTCTGCCAGACGCGGCCATGCTTTGGTGATAGCTGATCAGTCGCTTCTGAAGCGCATCCGGGAATGTTCGGAGAAGGATCGGGAGGTGGCCGAGGCACTTGAAAAGGTGCAGGACCTTGGGCCGCCACGGCTGCAAAGGGGTTTTGAGGAGTGGAATGCCAAACAAGGGCTTCTGCTGTTCTGCGGGTGCGTGTACGTCCCAAAGAACGCGGAGCTCCGGCGGGATATGATCAAAATCCATCACAACTCGCCGATCGCCGGTCATGGCGGTCGTGCCAAAACCCTGGAACTCGTATCGCGGAACTACTGGTGGCCTGGGATGTCTAAATTTGTCAATGAGTACGTAAGCACCTGTGACGTGTGCAACCGTACCAAGACATTCCCAGCCAAACCCCAGGGTCCGCTGAAGCCAAACGAGATCCCCAAGCGCCCGTGGCAGATCATCACGACTGACATGATTGTTGGCTTGCCGATGTCCGATGGGTTCGACTCAATCCTGGTCACCGCCGACCGCTTCACAAAGCAGGTCCACTTCTCGGCCTGTCACGAGACCCTGACGGCAGAAGGTGCGGCAGACCTGTACATCCGCGATGTGTTCAAGCATCATGGGGCCCCGGCCAAGGTCATATCAGACCGAGGTCCCCAGTTCGCTTCGAAGTATCTCCATGCGGTGTACAAGGGACTAGGAATCGAGCCGGCGCTGTCTACAGCATTCCACCCTCAGACAGACGGCCAGACCGAGCGCTGGAATCAAGAAATCGAGCAGTACCTACGTGCTTTCACGAGCCACAGGCAGGATGATTGGGCGAAGCAGTTGCCGCTCGCGGATTTCGCATTGATCAACCGAGTTCACTCCGCGACCGGGCACTCCCCTTTCTTCCTGCATCAGGGGTACAATCCTGAGATCCAGGTTCGGATCAATCCGATGTCTGCAATGCCCGCGGCCGCTGATCGGCTCAAGATCCTGAAGGAGATTCGCGACGATACGCGCTCTGCGCTCGAGCTATCAGCTGAGCGCATGAAAGTGTACTACAATAAGCACGTGCAACAGGCACCGGTCTTCGTGCCAGGGAACAAGGTCTGGCTTGACGCTCGGAACCTTAAGCTGAAACAGCCGAGCAAGAAGCTCAGTCCCAAGTGCCTCGGACCATATGCCGTGCGGCGAAAGCTCGGAGACTTGGATTACAAATTAGTCCTGCCGAAGTCGGTACCGGTGCACCCGGTGTTTCATGTCTCCTTGCTTAGCAAGTACACGCGTAGCGATATCCCGGGTCGGGAGCCGGAGGAGCCGCCTGCGATTGAGGTTGAGGGCGACAAGGAATACGAGGTTGAGCGGATCAAGGATTCGCGGATCTTCCGGCGTCAGCTGCAGTACCTCGTCAAGTGGAAGGGTTATGACAACTCGCATACATCATGGGAACCGGCGCGCAACGTTGCCAATGCGCCGGCCCTCATAGCCAACTTCCACCGGAAGAATCCGAACGCCCCTCGCCGCCTCAATGCTGCTACCTTTGGTGGTCTCAACTTTCAGCCAATGCCTTCGTCACTGACTGAAGCACGCTGCCGCTCCGGGTGGGAGATGGGCAAGGGCGCCTCAAATGAGGTCATGCGCCGTTGAGGGGGGGGTAATGTCATGAGTTGGTACGGCGCCTAGCCGTTTTTTAATTTTTTCCTTTTCGCGGGCTCGAACCCGCGACCTCTGTACTACCTGCCTGATATGGACACGTTGTTATCTACTGTACGATTAGATTAGATGGGGCGGCAGCGCACGGCACAGCTCAGGCTCCGCTGACACAGCCGCTCTGACTCACCGGCCCCCGGGGCCGCGTCGGCATGCTGCGCACAGACCAGCTGCGCACGGACCAATGCGCACAGCCTGCCCTAATCTCCCCATGTATATAAGCCGGCCTCTGCTGCCCTAGGGACCTCAGTTTTGACCTCTTGTCCCTAGGTCAGTAAGCCCTCACTTGTATTTCCTTTCTTACTTAACTAACTAATATATTACTTGTCCCTAGCCTTAGGTTTGAGCCTCGCTCACCATCGCTTCGGTGAGAACCAGTTGGATGCCCCTCGCTTCTAGATATCTCCCTGTTGCTTGACCTCAAGTCGCAACAGAACCAGTCGAATGCCCCCAGCATCCTTGTTTGGTTTTCCCCTGTCACTCAACCCTAAGTCGCGACAGTTGTACTATATCAACTCAACCTAGTGTTCATGCATTGTGACCATGACCTGCCATTTCAACAGGTTCATGAGTTCATCCCCTACCACAGTGTTGGAACAACGGTGCAACAGTGTGGTGAGCATGTTTGTCCATGGGCAAAGCAATGCCTGTAAGGGACAATCATGTACTTTACATACATTGTGCACAGTCTGTCACAACTTGAGGTCAAGCGACAGGGAAGAGTCTGAGAGCTGAGGGTGTTCAACTGATCTCACTGAAGCAATGGTGAGCCATGCTCAAACCTAAGGCTAGGGACAAGATAATATATTAGTGAAGTAAGAAAAGGAATACAAAGGATGCTTACTGATCTAGGGACAAGAGGTCAAAACTAAGGTCCCTAGGGCAGCAGAGGCAGGCTTATATACAGGGGAAGATAAGGGCAGGCTGTGTGCAGCTGGTCTGTGCACAGCATGCTGACGCGGCCCCAGGGGCCGGTGAGTCAGAGCGGCTGTGTCAGCAAAGCACGAGCTGTGCCGTGCACTGCCATCCCATCTAATCTAATCATACAGTAGATATGATGCGTCCATCGGGTTCAAGCCCGCAAAAAGGAAAATTAAAAAACAGCTAGACGCCGTACCAACTCGTGACACAGTCATTATATACTACGATAGGGGCCTCCGGCCCCCGGGTACTCACACGCCTGAGCTTGCGAGCTTATTCCTGTGTGAGAACAACACCGGAAAGACCGCCGGCAGACAACGTCCTCAATGGACAGGGATTAATGGGTGATTAGGTTACAAACTGATGGGGCTACCTACGGCGCGCAACACCTACATAAGTCCTATTCCCACACCGGCGCATGACCACGTGACCCGGGCCGGCGGCGACGCTTGCCTGACATACCCAAAAGCCAACACTTCCCCTCAAGTGAGCTGCCATTAGCCTACACCCAATCAAAACACAAAGACATCCTCCACGACCGCCAAGCTCGCATGAGTCCTTTTGTCTGGACAATTCCGTTGAATGTGCCCAACCTTCCCATAGCGAAAACATGTCACCTTGCCTCCCGAAGCTCCCCTGAAGCCGCAACATTGGCGACAGTCACCTTGCCATTGTCCCGCCGCTTCCCGAGCCTCGTCTCCTCATTCAGCAGCTTTGCACACACATTGTCAAATGTGTGCTCCCTTGTCAACATCTCGTCAACCACCATGACCACCCACTTGAAGTCCTCACCAAGTCCCATGATGAGAACAAGGACCTTCTGCTGGTCTGATACCTCGACGTCGACATCCCGGAGCGCCCGTGCATAGCCTTTGACCCGGGAGATCCAAGCCTGTGCTGTCTCGCCGCCTTCCATCTCTGCGCGGTAAAACTGCCGCCACTTTGCCAGCTCCGTGGCGAAACCTCGTGAACGGTGCGCATCCTGGAGGACCCGCCAGCACTCACGGGGGTCCGTTTCGTCCTCCAACAGCTCCAACTGGTTGTCACCAACCCGGAGCACGATCTCCGCCCGTGCCTTGGCCATGTCGGCCTTCTTCCACTTCTTCAGCTCCTTTGCTAACGCCTCAGCCCCGTCTTCCCCCTCCTTGGGCTCCACCTCGACTTCCACTACTCCCCACAGTCCCTTCCTAACCAGCTCCGCCTCCATCTTCATTGCCCAGACCCGATACTTCCCCTTGACCAAGAGGGGGAACTTGGTGTCATGCTCCGAAGTCATGTTGGCGCCAGTACCAGACGAGAGAGTAGTATAGCGAGGTTCTAGGCAACAGCAAAGCACTTGATTTGTCGATCGGTTTGTGTGAGAACGACGCCGGAAAGACTGCCGGCAGCCAACGTCCTCGATGTACAGGGATCAATGGTGGATCAGGTTACAAACCGATGGGGCTACCTACGGCGCGCGACGCCTACATAAGTCCTATTCCCACACCGGCGCACGACCACGTGACCCGGGCCGGCAGCGACGCTTGCCCGACATACCCAAAAGTCAACACTCCGGGATGTCGACGTCGAGGTATTGGACCAGCAGAAGGTCCTTGTTCTCATCATGGGACTTGGTGAGGACTTCAAGTGGGTGGTCATGGTGGTTGACGAGATGTTGACAAGGGAGCGCACATTTGACAATGTGTGTGCAAAGCTGCTGAATGAGAAGACGAGGCTCGGGAAGCGGCGGGACAATGGCGAGGCGACTGTCGCCAACGTTGCAGCTTCAGGGGGAGCTTCGGGGGGCAAGGTGACGTGTTTTCGCTGTGGAAAGGTTGGGCACATTCGACGGAATTGTCCGGACAAAAGGACTCATGCGAGCTTGGCGGTCGTGGAGGATGTCTTTGCATTTTGATTGGGCGTAGGCTAACGGCAGCTCGCTTGAGGGGGAGTGTTGACTTTTGGGTATGTCGGGCAAGCGTCGCTGCCGGCCCGGGTCACGTGGTCGTGCGCCGGTGTGGGAATAGGACTTATGTAGGCGTCGCGCGCCGTAGGTAGCCCCATCGGTTTGTAACCTGATCCACCATTGATCCCTGTCCATCGAGGACGTTGGCTGCCGGCAGTCTTTCCGGCGTCGTTCTCACACGGAGCGCTCATGCATAGCCTTTGACCCGGGAGATCCAAGCCTGTGCTGTCTCGCCACCTTCCATCTCCGCGTGGTAAAACTGTCGCCACTTTGCCAGCTCCATGGCGAAAGCTCATGAATGGTGCGCATCCTGGAGGACCTGCCAGCACTCACGGGGGTCCGTTTTGTCCTCCAACAGCTCCAACTGGTCGTCACCAACCCGGAGCATGATCTCCGCCCGTGCCTTGGCCATGTTGGCCTTCTTCCGCTTTTTCAGCTCCTTTGCTAACGCCTTAGCCCTGTTTTCCCCCTCCTTGGGCTCCACCTCGACTTCCACTACTCCCCACAGTCCCTTCCTAACCAGCTCCACCTCCATCTTCATTGCCCAGACCCGATACTTCCACTCGACCAAGAGGGGGAACTTGGTGTCATGCTCCGAAGTCATGTTGGCGCCAGTACCAGACGAGAGAGTAGTATAGCGAGGTTCTAGGCAACAGCAAAGCACTTGATTTGTCAATCGGTTTGTGTGAGAAGGACACTGGAAAGACCGCCGGCAGACAACATCCTCGATGGACAAGGATCAATGGGTGATTAGGTTACAAACTGATGGGGCTACCTACGGCGCGCAACGCCTACATAAGTCCTATTCCCACACCGGCGCATGACCACGTGACCCGGGCCGGCAGCGACGCTTGCCCGACATACCCAAAAGTCAACATCCTGACCATGTGCTTCAACACACTGTTGAAACTTGAGATTGTGGTGAGCACATGCCATCACCGTATTTGGCATTGTTTGTAGTACCTCGCAGACTTTGCGTGAGCCATCCTGTATGTTCCTTACGTGTTTGACAGACCTCAGACAAACACAATATATCTTCATTGATCATTCTCACTTCGGGTCTCGGACGAACTTTAACACACACGGCATGTGACATGATGCCCAGTTCAGTTCAGCCGGCACCGTGACATGATGGCCGACCAGGGCTACCTTCGGAGACTCGAGCACCGATAGGTGCGCGACCCATTTTTGGACACTGCGGCATTTATTACTAGCCTATTATACATTGTTCCTGTAATATTAGTCGTAGTGAGGTAGAGTTGATGACCTTGCAGTACAAGTTCCCCTCGAAATCTCACAGTGATTGGTGATCGACTCATAAAGAGGCTCCGAATGGGTTGATTTTAGAATACAAGTTACTGTACATACTTCTTATACATTGTGAATGCTCTCTAAGGCTGCTTTGCAGATTAAGCAGGCGAAAGTACAAATTTCTCGCCATCGTGACAAAATACATTGCGCCGAGTTCAAAATTCGTTGTGACCGTGGCAAATGAACTCCCAGTCGATACAGTATTGGCCAAGTTGAAAGCCTTTTATGTTCTTCCTGCCGTATCAGCAGTCTCCGATGCAACTTATGAAACGCGACGCTGCTAGAGATCAAGCCGCAACACTGCTAGAGATCAAGCCGCAACGCTGCCATTTTGAAGAGACGTTCTAGAAGGCGCAATATAAACTGTATAGCAGTATTACAACAAGCGCTGTTTTCTCACTCATGCCATGGTCTCGACCGCCGCCCCGTCTTTCCCCTCGCCGTTCACTCATTCTCTTGTGATATACGAAGATGCGACCTATATGAACAGGCCAACTACGTGTCTACACGCCCTCTATCCGGCTCACGAATCATCGGAATCAGCGGCGACGATATGATAGATCTGCCAGTGATTGTCCCCATTAACATCCTTATACTAAAAATTACATGTGAACACCGTTTGTCGTACATGGGCGAGATCACATACCTCCTGTAGGATTGCATAATCTGGAAGGATGGATAGACGCTGTGTGATTCTCTCATCTATTGGCTGAGCCTCGGCGTATGCTGAATGGACGCCTTCACTGTCCGCAGGGATAACACATAGCTCTCCCCCTTCATCCCACTCCTTTGCCAGCTCAATTGCGTTCCACTCATCCGAATTGAAACCCACTCCTTTACCCCCAACGACGGTGTAGTCAATCTGATCCAGGCGGAGTCCGATCTCACCACCCTCCGGCTTGTTGATGTTAGCGAATGACACATACATGCCTTGTACCTCTGCGGAGCACAGTTGGCCTGCGCGCAGCACTCTCGGGTACTGTATTACCCAATCTCCCCATTCGGCGGCTCCCCCAACTCCGGGACGATAGTCGTTCTCGTCAAGTCCGCCAGCCTGCGCGCGCCGAGCCCACTCCCGAATCATGGATGTTGGCACCAGAATGGCCTCTGTCCAACTGTCCTTGTCACTATGGCCGTCATGAGAGCCAATAAAGAGAAGTGCAACGAGACCACGTTCTGGGGACGAGTAGAACGGATGGACCGAATTCCTCTGCGGGCATCCGCCCTTATGCATTGACATGAGTTGGGGCCAACCCCATAATTGGTTATCATGCATAGGATGATCCCATATGCAGCGAGATTCTCGGATGAGCGTTGGAGCACCAGTATACTCACTTTGTCGGTCTAGCACGAAGATATCAACGGCTCTACTGTCCGTCGCAAGTAGATGCCGACTGTCGACGAAGTCAAATGATTCATATTTGACTGTTACTTTTGTTTGTTGTAGACACTGTATGATCACGGTGTCAGGTTTGGTCCACACATATACACGGCATAAAGTACTTTCCCAAAGCAAATCGCCTGTCTTCCAATCCCACACCAGAACCGCATATTCATAGTTCCAAGAGCTAAGATGCGCTACGTAGTCGCCTTCTAGACGGGATTGGCGTCCTTCCTTGCGGTTTTCTTCGTCTAATTCGTCATATTTACCCGTGTCTGACAGGTTGATCTCACTGCGCGCAGCAAGAGCATGGGGTTGCCCATCTGTGAAAGACAGGATACGAAGTGCAGGGTACCGGCCCCTGTCTCTTCGTCAAATACTCGCACAAGAGTGATCAAAACGTTGCCTACCCTGGTTCGTTTGGCACCTGATCCCACCCTGTCACGACAACAACGCTCTGTGATGGATCCATACACATTGTCTCCAAGTCCATATCGAGCTGGTCGCTGTGGATAGACCATTGACGCTCTGAGACTCCAAGCACTGCGGATGGGAACTGGATGAATTCAATTCCGCCTCGCATGTCTGCCTGGGCGAAAAGACCACCAGGCGAGGTCGTCCACACAAGCGCCGTCCACTGTGGAAAGGACGACCCTGGCACAAGCTCTGCGGTGCGGCGCATGTGCTGCAGAGAGCGTAATTTCCGCAGTCTCTCCACGTAGGGAAGGGGGCATAAGGGCTCGTCGGCCATGCCTGCAAGCTCGAGTTCATAGAAATATTGCAAGGAAGTGGAGCCGTGTATAAGTTGTAGGAACATCCGGCACACCTTACGAACATGTACATGATCAGTTTAAGACTAATACGCTGGTGTGATACTACTCACTTGTTTGCAGTTGATCAGGCCGCGAGCATCGAGAAAGAAAAAGATCATCACGAGGAGCTCGACTGGCAGGTCCGTAACGGTACGTGTAGCCATAGCTGATCAGAGTTTCAATGAGGGATTGACGACCGGTATTGAGGAGTATGATCATCGCTTTTATAGCACAAGGGCTTCAGCGCTGACAAAGGACGACGCCGTCCAAGAACAAGGGAAGGAAGATCAGAATTGCACGCTCGGAGCCAATACGTCCGGACCGGACTGTTGTACTTCTGCAGGAAACCTTGTGTGTTGTGAACTCCTCATCCTGCGTGCGTTGCCTGGCATCCATACTCTCCCTGGATCTGTCGTGATGTGCGGAGTCCGATCAACGGCTTTGGCACATGGGTCGATCAGGCCGCGACGCTACCTTGGGGACTGCCCGCAAAGAAGGCACAGTACTTCCGCTTCAGTTCAGCGCTATGTACGGTACCATGTTCGCTGAAGACTGACGTCGAACGCGAAATGAGATTTTTGTCAAACATAGAAAGGTGACTAGAGTGCACTTGCAACAACCTAGGTTAGGTTGGGTAGAATGAACACTAATTCGTGGAAAGTACTAGAGTTGACGTTGAGGTGCGACGATCAAAGTGGCTAACATAAGCTGAAGGCACAAGAGCAGGACATCGGATACCACTCGCCCAGCTCCTTGTATTTTTCAGGTTGTGTGGTACCGTGATTGAAGAGTAACGAGCACGACGTGTATGCCCTACCCATCTGCCTGATTCACTGAGACCGTGCAAAAGCGTGCTCACTGCACTCGCCAGCTCTGGTGGCACAGAACGTCCAAGGACGAGCTTACCTATTATAGAGGACACCGTTGCCATATCGCGATCGTAGCCCGGAAGGGCCGAGGGGCCGAGATAGTCGGCCTCGGGCGTGCAGCTCATGACGCGTCTTACTTGGTCGTGTCGAATAGACTGTGGGTGACCGTTCGTGACCTCCCCGAAGACCTTCTCCCGCGAATGCTCTTTCTATTTCCACGCTTGTCGACGTCTATTTTGCGTACTGTTCCACGACACCCGCCTGAGATGCCAGCATCTCCTCCAGTGTCTCCTCAAACGGCTTCAGCTCGCGCCCCAGCACCTTCTGCAGCAGCGGATCCACGACGTCCAGCTCGCCGCGCACGAGGCCCTTGAACGTCGTCGCCCACGCGCGCAGGAACTCCTCGCCGCCGCGCGGCCCGTGCTTCCCGCGATTGTGCTGCACATACTCGTCCTCGGAGACGACTCGCAGCGTGACCGCGCGCCGCACGCGCGCCGAAATCTTCTCAGTCAGATCGCGGAGCGTCAGCGTGCGTGCGCCCGACAGGAGAAGCGTCTCGTTCGCGAAGCCGCCCTTCACAGAAGCGCGCAAGTGCCGGACGTGAGACGCGCGCCGGGAGTGGCAGATCGGCGACGTACCTGGACCATGATCCTCGCGGTGCCCTCGCCGAGATCCTCCCGGCACACCCACGCGATCCCGCCGTCGCCGTGCGGGACGCGCACCTCGTCCGCGCCCTCCGCGGGGTCGAAGAAGCCGAGGTACAGCGGGTAGCTCTCGCTGTAGATGCCCTCGCGCAGGACGGTGTGCGTGAGGCCGCTCTGGCGGAGGTACGCCTCGGTGTCGAGGTGCGCCTGCATGACTGCGGCGACGCTGCCGGTGCCGAAGGCGAGCGAGGTGTAGTAGACGTGCGCGACGCCGCAGCGCTTGGCGGCGTCGATGGCGGCGACGTGGTGCCTGACGCGCAGCTCGTGCGCGATGGACGGGTAGGAGACGATCAGAAGCCTGTCTGCGCCACGGAAGGCTGCGTCGAGGGAGGCGGGGTCAGCAAAGTCGCCGCGGCGGATTTCGACGCCCGAGCTGGCGATGTCAGGGGGAGCGCCGTCGGGGTTGTGCAGCGATACCACAATGTCAGATGCTATGTCGGTGAGCTTCGACCAGGAAGGCACGGCAGGCAGACGAGCTGACCGGGGACAAGCTGGAGTAGGTGCTTGAAGACGTGAGACCCGAGGCCGCCTGTGGCGCCAGTGAGGACGTACTTCATTTTTGGATATGCTTCGCGGACGCGTACGCGTAGTCTGCAGTTGGGGAGCACAGAGTACAAGAATGGGCAATTAGGCAACGCGTCTTGGACTATAGGGTCATGACAAACGATGATATCATCGGCTACACATTCGTCAGCAGACAGCGCGGATGCTGATCGAGATCTTCAAAGTAGAAGCGGGTCGTTAGGCGCCACAGCTCTCTTCTACTGGTCTCGCCATGCAGCTCTACTTTTTTTCATCGTGTTCAGTGGAAGCCGTCGACTTGTCTTCTGTCACGCTTTGAGCTAGTTTGGCCGACGCCTTCCGCAACCGACAGTCGAGGCTCCAAAACGAGTGGCGTATTCGAGAAGAGCGACAGCGTCACAGAATCTGCGTCTGCCAAGGCGCTTGACGGCTCCGGACAGTCGAGGGCTATAGTTGCAGGAGGATCTCTGGTCGTCTCGAAGAAGAAGATCAGGCTAGGATCACATGCAGAGGTGCTACTCCTGTGGTGCGCTCGTTGCGACGCATAGTGTCGATGAGGCGGGATGGATTCTGTTGACAGCTGCTGGCGTTCCACTTTGTCCTGCGAAGAGACACATATGACACAAGCTTGTCTGGGCGGCTTCCCTCGTTCGTTCTCTTCTGTGCGTAGAAGACGCATTCACTCTGCGCAGAACACGCTCGCCTCTCTTCCCCTTCTCCCGCTCCAACCGGCCTCATCGTCCGACAACGGGCGTGGATCGACCGAATACAATGTGCTCACTACATAAATCGCCCACCATCCCTGTCCTTTCTCCCCGTCCTCCCTCCTACCCGTCGCGCCCGGTCGGTTCTGTCTTCTTGTGAAAGCCTATATTCCCTCAGCTTTATCTTGGCTCTTTCTCCCCGCTTGGCCGGCATCTGTCTTCAAAATGCCTTCTGCTGGGCTTCCTACCGTATGTAGCCTCATGCATTCGCTGGCATGTTCACCCACGCCTACACTCGCAGAAAACCCAAATTCTCGTCGTCGGCGGTGGGCCTGCCGGAAGCTATGCTGCCGCTGCTCTCGCCCGAGAGGGATTTGACGTCGTACTCTTCGAAATGGCACAGTTCCCTCGGTATGCACGCTTCACAATACTACAGAGTCATCCTCCGTGCTCATACCGCGCGTAGCTATCACATAGGCGAATCCCTCATCCCCTCCGCACGCCATTATCTGCGCTTCATCGATGCAGAACATAAAATTGCTGCTCACGGGTTTACTCGCAAGGTACGCTGCGCATTCTTCTCGCTCCGTTACGTCTTATTCATGCCTTCTACTCTTTCCTGCCCGTTGTCGATAACAGCCAGGCTCCGCGATTAAATTCAATCAGTATATGCGTGAAGGGTGTAAGTATTTTCAAGTCCCGACCTGGCCGCGCATATACGCAAGACCAGTTTCGGGGCTGGTGTATACAAATGTTATGCTCACGACGCATCTAATCCACACACAGATACAGACTTCGTCGCACTTGGTGCAGATAACAACGCCTGGAACGTCGTACGCTCCGAATTTGACCAGCTGCTCTTGGAACATGCGTCCTCTTGCGGGGCACGCGTTTTTCAGCAAACGCGAGTGTCCGACATCATCTTTTGTGAGACCTCCCCTCAACACTCTACGAGTCGTCGGCCTCGAGCCTGGTCGCAGCGGGCACGCTCAGACAGCGGGACATCGCTGCCATCTGTCAACGAGGAGACAGAAGGTGTGAAGCGAGATCCAGGGCGCCCCGTGTCTGCGATGTATGAGACGGCGCTCGGCGGCAGTGGTGAAATTGGGTTCGACTTCCTGGTCGATGCTACTGGGCGTGCCGGGTTGATGAGCACCAAGTGAGCAGCTGTCGTGCCGTTATTTGGCGAATCTAACGTGGGCGTTGTACCAGATACTTGAAGAATCGCAAGTTCAACGAGACGCTCAAGAATGTCGCTGTCTGGGGGTATTGGCGGTGCACGGGGATGTATGGACAGGGTACAGACAGAGAGAACGCACCCTGGTTCGAGGCACTGAGCGGTAAGTCGCCTCCCTCGATCATCCCACAAGATCTCCGACTTTTTGCCTCTGTCTATTCACTTCGCTCACAATCGCTCCCAGACGAGTCAGGGTGGGCGTGGTTCATCCCACTGCACAAGGGCCTTACGTCTGTCGGCATCGTCATGGACCAGAAACAGCTCGGGCTGCGCTCGCGCGCGTCATCCTCCGCCGGCACGTCGACCTCTCCGCCCGCCGGCATGCGCCACCGCTCGCTCTCGATTCGCACATCGTCTACTCTCGCGGAGCGCTACCTCGGGATGCTCCCGCTCGCGCCGGGCGTGGTGGAGCTCATTGGCGACGGCGAGCTGGTGAGCGTGAGCGAGGAAGGCATGGACGAGGAGGGCCCGGCGGTAAAGAGCGCGAGCGATTACAGCTACTCGGCAGATACGTATGCGGGCCCCGGGTGGCGGGTCATTGGGGATGCTGGCGGTACGTGCATCCCGCCGCGGTCGGATTATGGTGTGTTGGCTGACGCGAAAGGCAGCGTTCATCGACCCGTTTTTCTCGTCGGGTGTGCACCTCGCGTTTACGGGGGCGCTCTCGGCCGCAGCATCGATTGCGGCGTCCTTGCGGGGCGACTGTAGTGAGTCGGAGGCGGCGCTCTGGCACAGCAGCCGTGTGGCGATTTCGTATACTAGGTACGTGCGCCGAACCTACCACTGGCCGTATTTTATGTCATCAGTGATGCTGACTTCTGTGCGCCGTAGATTCCTCGTCGTTGTGCTCAGTGCATACAAGCAGATCCGGGCGCAGTCTGCGCCTGTACTCGCCGACGTTGACGAAGACAACTTCGACAAGGCATTTGCGTGTCTTCGACCAGGTGCGTCCACACCCGTCGTCGCTGTATCGCACTCACTTATTCATTGTACCATAGTCATCCAAGGCGGGGCAGAGATGGGCGCGCGTTTGTCTGAGGACGAGCTGCAGCGCGCGCTCGACTTCTGTGTACATCTTTTCAGTCCGACTACGCCTGAACAGCACGACTCCGTCCGGAAAAAGCTGCAGGCCCTTGGTCTTACCGCAGACCACGACGACGGCACTGCCACGCGGCACGGCGACCCCAAGGGCGCTGACGCTATGGACGTCCGCGCCCCCGTCATCAGCCCCGCGAAGCTGGACCAGCTCGCGCGCCGATACGCGTCGCCGTCAACGACTGCGGCTGCAAAAGCAGACAACTTAGAAGTGAAGATGGTGCTAGAGAAGGTGAACGCGCGCCGGGTCATACATGCGGAGCACGGCAACGGGCTGAACAGTCTGGAGGAGGAGGCGGTGGAGGGGTTTGTGGTGCGGTTGCAGACGGGGCAGTTGGGGCTGGTTAAAAATTGTGTAACACTGGCATTGTAAAGCGAGCAATTGAAGAACAAATTGAGCCCCTCGCGGCTATGATGGGGTTGAAACCTGTAGCAACAACAGGGGGAGGCACGAGCGTAGATCTGTAACGTAGTACAGTCCTCAGTGCACGCTCGGGAGAGCAAAGACTAAAATGTATATTAGCATACCTGTAACGTAGTACAGTCTAACGACATGGTAAGCTACGGTATGCGGACATGACAGACAACTTTGCACTTACCCTCATTGCACGCTCGGGAGAGCAAAGACTGAGGGTCAAGATGCAGGCACTCAGGTAAAATAGCTACAGTCCGTTAGGGGCTAGGTACAGTAAGGTACGTACGCGCTACCGTAACGGGTAATGATGGATATGATACTGACAGCGTGAGTGTCGGGGCGAATCAGAAAGAGCGCCGCGCCGATGCAGTAAGGTGCGGCGCGGGAAGGCGGAACAGCGTGAACTAAAATAAGAAACACACGGGTATGGCGCGCAACCGGTCCCGGAGCGCGGCGGACGACGCACGGATTGTCGTGCTCCAACACTCCCCCTCAATCCTGCAACAGTCCAAGCGCGTGAGCGACGTGCTTGACCTTGGGACTGGAGAGCGCCTTGGTGAGCGTGTCGGCGACCATATCCTCAGTAGGACAATAGATGAGCTTCAACTTTTTGTCTTGCACGATCCAGCGGATGAAATGGAATCGTATGTCGATATGTTTTGTACGGGCGTGGTACTGATGATCTTGCGTGAGCGCAATAGCAGATTGGTTGTCGGATTTGAGCGTGATGGGGGAATCAAAAGGTGCGAAGATCTGTCTGATGAGCGATCGGAGCCAGAGAGCTTCCTTCGAGGCATGAACTATCGCGACGTACTCGGACTCCGTAGTCAACAGGGAAATAATCTCCTGCCACTTCGATGCCCATGAAACAGCCCCACCGTCGATGAGAAATGCATAGCCAGAGATGGCCTTGCGATCCTTGTGCATGGAACCGTCTGCATCCATGTAGCCGACGAGGTCGAATTGTGCGGCGCCATAGGTGAGCTTCAGAGTCTTGGTGCCAGCCAGATACTGAAATACGCGCTTCACTGCATCCCAATGCGCACGGCCAGGGTTGTTGGAGAAACACGACAGCACAGACATGGCATACGTGATGTCCGGGCGCGTCCCCAGTGAAGCATACATCAGAGACCCTACGGCCTCACGATAAGGCACGTCGCACATGGCAGCAGCTTCAGCAGGCGTTTGCGGCGACTGCGCAGAGGACAGGTGAGTGGTGGGCTCCATGGGTGAGGCAAGGGACTTCGCGTCTTCGAGGTTAAAATGATGGATGATTGAGTCAAGGTACGACACCTGCGACAGTGAGAGCATCCGCTCTTCCCGGTTTCGCTCGACAGCAAAGCCGAGGATCCAATGGATGGGCCCCTCGTCCGTGATTTCAAAATCCTTGCGCAGGTTCGTCTTCACCTCGTCCATCAGTCTGTTACCCGATGTGACGATGGTAAGGTCATCAACGTGCACGCCCATTGCAATGAGTGAGTTCTTCTCAACATGGAAGAAAACCGCTTGATCCACATCGTACTGCGCCATCCGCAGGTGGGTCTGGAGCATCCGCAAGAGCTTCTTGTGCCAGTGGCGTGCGCTCTGTCGAAGGCCGTACAACGGGCGAAGGAGGCGGAGAACGAGGGTCTTATCATTGGTGAGTTCCACACCAGGTGGCAGGGACATGTAGATGACCTCATTTTCTTCGAATTCTCCATGCAGGTATGCATTTTTTATGTCGACTTGGTGAACCTCAAAATTATGGCGTGCTGCGAAAGCAAGGAGGATCTGTATTGATGCCATTTTGGCTACCGGCGCATAAGTGTTGAAGAAATCGACACCGGGCACCTGGGAGAAACCGCACGCAACAAGACGAGCACGGTAGCGGTACATGCTTCCAGCTGCATCCTTTTTTGCGTGGAATACCCAGCGGCAACTTACGATGTTCACACCCAGTGGGGGCTTTTTGAGGTGCCAAGTACCATGCGCTTCAAGTGCGCGGATCTCCTCAAACATTGCCTCAAACCAGCGCAGCCATTCAGGTCGGCGGTGAGCCTCATTGATTGAGCAGGGGTCAAGGCCTTTGGCATCAGCAACGTGCATGGCCATGGCTGCACCTGTGATCTCCTCAACGAGCTCGGCAATGACAGCTGTGGGAGCGTCCTCATCTGGGACTGGAACACCCCATGTGTCGCGACTTGAGGTCAAGCGACTAGAGAAAACTGGAAGGCTGGGGGCGTCCGACTGATTCTCACCGAAGCGATGGTGAGCGAGGCTCAAACCTAAGGCTAGGGACAAGTAATATATTAGTTAGTTAAGTAAGAAAAGGGATACAAATGAGGGCTTACTGACCTAGGGACAAGAGGTCGAAACTGAGGTCCCTAGGGCAGCAGAGGCCGGCTTATATACATGGGGAGATTAGGGCAGGCTGTGCACATTGGTCCGTGCGCAGCTGGTCTGTGCGCAGCATGCCGACGCGGCCCCGGGGGCCGGTGAGTCAGAGCGGCTGTGTCAGTGGGGCCCGAGCTGTGCTGTGTGCTGCCGCCCCATCTAATCTAATCGTACAGTAGATAGTGACGCGTCCATATCAGGCAGGTAGTACAGAGGTTGCGGGTTCGAGCCCGCAAAAAGGAAAAAATTAAAAAAACGGCTAGGCGCCGTACCAACTCGTGACACCGTGGAAGTGTCCTATCTGCTCCCCTTTCTGCCAGCATGTCGCTAACTTTCTGCGACGGTTTGCAAATGCGAACTGGACGCAGTGTAGGTGGCAGATCCGGGAGCGCAGGCTTTGAAGGCGGTGGTGGCATATGCAGCTTGGTAAGTGCATCGTCTTGTGCATCGGACTTGCTGGCTGACTCAGAGGTAGCATCAGAGGGTTCAGGAGGAGCGGTGGACACAGGCTTGACATAGCTTGACTTCACTCCCTCCTCCTCAAGCTCAGGACCATCGTCCTCGAACAGCACAGCGGCGGGAGCGCTGGCAAAGCACAGGTTCCGCTCAATGGTGACACGATGAGCATCCGGCCACCATACACGATGACCCTTGCTCTGTGAGTTGAAACCCACCCAGCGCGCAGCCTTAGCACGCTCGCCAAGCTTCCCGGTGGACGTATCGTGTACCCACACCTGCGCATCCCACACCGGCAGCCCAGCCAGGCCAGGAACATGCCCAGTGAGGGCCTCATAGGGTGTCCTTCCACCAAGCGCCTTCATCGAGGTACGGTTTTTCAACCACACAGCGTGCATGACAGCCTCTCCCCACAGGAACTTTGGCAAGCCGGACACAATGAGGAGCACGCGCACCTTCTCCATGAGGGTGCGATTCAGTTGCTCGGAAACTCCAGCCTCCTCATGCGTGTCGTGCACGGAGAGCTTTGCAAGGGTGCTGTCATGAGTTGGTTTGGTGTCTAGCCGTTTTTTAATTTTTTCCTTTTTGCGGGCTCGAACCCGCGACCTTTGTACTACTTGCCTGATATGGACGCGTCGTTATCTACTGTACAATCAGATTAGATAGGACGGCAGTGCACAGCACAGCTCGGGCTCCGCTGACACAGCCTCTCTGACTCACCGGCCCCAGGGCTGCGTCAGCATGCTGCGCACGGACCAGCTGCGCACGGACCAGTGCACACAGCCTGCCCTTATCTCTCCATGTATACAAGCCGGCCTCTGCTGCCCTAGGGACCTCAGTTTCGACCTCTTGTCCCTAGATCAGTAAGCTCATGTACTTACTTACCTTTCCAATGCTAACTTACTTGTCCCTAGCCTTAGGTTTGAGCGTTGCTCACCATCGCTTTGGTAAGAATCAGTCAGACGCCCCCAGCCTTCAGATCTTTCTCCAAGTTGCTTGACCTCAAGTCGTGATATTAGGTCGAAACTCCCCAAGCTGCCGGCGCCCTCTCGGGACTTCCTATATTCACTTTCCTTTCCCACAGGTCAGGTGGTGCGCACCCCTACAATACTCTACGATACATATGATACGTAGATAGCCCTACATACATCACCACCCCTCGAGGAACGAACTCTTCAACATCTGCACTTCAGTGGGCAGTGTTTGTCCTCACGGACGCGTGGTCTAGGTTCCTGCTGCATACTAGCCAAAAGCAGTACTGGGCCCCACGTGAACTGCGAACCTCAGGGTCTTCTCGGGCACCGTAGCGTAAGCTAGTGTAGTACGGCCACTTTTAGTACGTGCACCTCCCCGTCCTCCCCCCATCCAACGTGGCTGCCTGCCAAGGCCAAGTTCACACATTTGACTCACAGGACCTCATCGACGTCTATATCCCAGATGGCCCTAAGACTGTCATCTACCGCTGTGAGCAGCAGCCGTGCCCCAACCGGACACCCCAATTGATTGCGGAAGATTACCCACGCTACAAGGTGATCAGAAGGGCCCAACATCTGCTCAGCCCTCGAAGTACCCTTGCCTCTCGATCTGCCTCGCAGCACTCTTGCCCTGTCTCCCCTACCTCCCGCCTTCCCCAAACTGTCGCCGAATCCAGTCAAGTACGAGAAGATCTCCCTCCAGACCCTGCGCCAGAGCCTGAGCCTGAGGAGGGTGTGGGTGAAGAAGGAATCTCGGAGTCTGAGTCCGAGGATTCTGTTGGGTCCGCCTCGCCGACAGCGCTCGCCCCCGCGTCAGCAGTCCCTGACGTATGTGACCCCCCCACCAAACTTCCTTTGGCGCCTTCACCACCATCACTGCTGCGAGGCTGCTTGCGCACTTGCTCCCCTCGTAGTCCGACCAGTGGAGGGCCACCACAGCCGCCTCCGCCCCGCAGCATCCTCCGTCCCCCCCGATGCCGGTAATGTCTTCCCCCACAACCGCCCCCAACAAGGAGACCCTGAAGCTCCTTCTCCCACTCCGATACGATGGCAAGACTGTCATTGAATGCGACAGATTCTTGTCGCAACTCCGTATCTACTGGTTGATCAACACGTCATTGATGACCATTGAGCTCAAGGTACAAGTTGCGCTGAGCCTGCTCGATGGCGATGCCTGCGCCTGGGCCACGCCTTACTTTGCCCAACTCGCGTTGGTGCAGATGGGTGTGCAAAAGGTTACAACCCCCTTCAGGAACGAAGCGGCCTTCACCGCTGCCTTTAAGGCCTGCTTCGGAAATCTCGACGACGCGGCAGCAGCACAAGTAGAGCTGATGAAGCTCTGTGCGGACAAGTCGGTCCGCGAAAAATGCACCGCTGCGGAGTTCTCCGCGCTGTTCAAGGGTCCGGCGGACCGTTCCGGGTATGGGGACCTGGAACTATGCGACAAGTACCTGAGCGGCATACCCTCCCGCGTATATTGCAAAATCGAGCTCGAGACCTTCACCACGTGGCGAGCCGCTGAAAAGTGAGCCACTGAGGTCGAGCAGATCCTCGACATCAGCCGGGCCCGTCAGCCTGAGTTGAACAACTTCTTCTCGGCTCAAGGACGAGGGCGCGGAGGGGCACGTGGTGGTGCACCCTCGACGCATGCAGCTTCGGCCAGCATCAATGTGGCCGTCAGAAAAAGAGACTTCCCCGGCACCTGCTTCGGCTATGAAAAGCAAGGGTACCGATGTTTCGAGTGCCCCAACTGTAAGGACAAGCCTTACACAAAACGCGCCAACGCGCGGGCTACGGTTGCCTCGGGTTCCACCCAGGTGGTGACAAGCACCCCCGTCGCTTCATCCTTGGCGAGTACAAGCGTCGCTTCAGCGAAATCGGAAAGTTCCGAGCTGGCGGACTTGATAGCACAGATAAAGTCGATGCGCGAGGAGCTTGAACATTATCGGGCGATGAAGGAGGAGTCTTTTTGATCCGGTCCGCGCTTCGTGCCGCACGCGTCGGGCCGCGAGTATCATGTAACAAGTACAATGTATTGTCTTCTGCAATGGTGTACAAGTTGGACCAGGGGTCCCAGCACTTTCACATTCCAGTAAGACTTCAAGGGAAAAGATGGCACAAGGACATAATCGCTATGGTGGACAGCGGAGCCACCACAAAGTTTATCAACAAACAGTTTATCACAGAAAATAAGGTGCAGACGCGGAAATTAAAGGAACCGATTCCACTATACAATATCGATGGCACCCTAAACAAAGATGGGAGCATCTCGGAAGTAGCAGTGCTACAGATGCAAATAGGAGAACACGTCGAGAAGACGGTGTTTACAGTCACGGACATCAGTCCAGAGGATGTGATCGTTGGGTTGGATTGGCTACACGAACACAACCCCGAGATCGATTGGGAGTTGGGCTCCCTAAAGCTATCACAATGCCCTGAAACGTGCAGTACCAGGAGGGCTGGCCGGATGGAGCAAGCAACGACTGTGCGTGATACGGGGGTCAGGCCCACAGCGCGCAGGCGTTCGCTGAAGCCCAAATGGTCAGTCATGGGCGCCTGCCGGAGCAAGGTGCTCCCGTACTTCGAACCTGAAGAAGATCCAGCGGAAGTAGAGTGGGATGAGACCGACTTGATCGAAGCCTGAGAGCAAGGTATCATGCTTCCCGGCGCCCCTCAGCTGTTCATCGCAGCCGGGCATACGTACTCCCAGCTGTTTGCTGAGGAAGAGATCAAAAAGAAAGTCGTTAAGACCGCTGAGGAGTCGGTACCTAAACAGTACCACGAGTTCCTGAATGTCTTCTCCAAGGAAGCATCAGAACAGCTACCCAAAAGGAAGCCTTATGATCATGCGATCGAACTCGTACCTGGCTACTTGATGTTCCACTCGAAGGTGTACCCCTTGTCGAGCAACGAGCAGGAGGAACTAGACAAGTTCCTAAAAGAGCAACTAGCGAAAGGCTACATACGGGAGTCGAAGTCGCCCATTTCATCCCCCTTCTTCTTCATCAAAAAGAAGGAAGGGACACTTCGACCCGTGCAGGACTACCGCCGATTGAACACAATCACGGTCAAAAATCGTTATTCCTTGCCGTTGATCGCTGAAATGGTGGACAAGCTCTGCGCTACGCTCTTCACAAAGTTCAATGTCCGATGGGGATACAACAACATCCGGATCAAAGCCGGTGACGAATGGAAGGCGGTGTTTGTGACTAACCAAGGGTTGTACGAGCCCTTGGTGATGTTCTTCGGTCTCACCAACTCCCCCGCGACCTTCCAGGCGATGATGAACGAGATTTTCCACGATCTCATCATCAGCGGCAAGATCCTCGTGTACCTGGACGACATACTCATCTTCTCCACCAATAAGGAGGAGCATGAGAGGGTCACACGCGAGGTTCTTCGCCGCCTTCAGGACAACGATCTATTCCTGAAGCCTGAAAAGTGTGAATGGGATGTTCCCAAGGTCGACTACATCAGCTATGTGTTCGGTGGCGATGAGGTGGCGATGGATCCCGCGAAGCTAAAAGGAATTAATGAGTGGCCGGTACCCCAGAACAAAAAAGACGTTCAGAAGTTCCGGGGGTTCTCCAATTTCTACTGCCGTTTCATTAAAGACTTCGCTAAGATCTCGCGACCACTCGACCGGCTCACAGGAAACGACCCATGGCATTGGGGCGAAGAGGAGCAGCACGCCTTCGACGAGCTCAAACGGCTCTTCGCGACGACTCCAGTCCTAGCACTGTACAATCCCAATCGGGAGACGCGCATTGAGGTCGACGCCTCAGGATATGCCACTGGCGGCGTGTTGATGCAGAAGCAGGATGATGGCAAATGGCACCCTATTGCCTTCAGATCCCATGCGATGGACCCAGCACAGCGGAACTACGAGATCTACGATAAGGAGATGCTCGCGATCATCGAAGCACTGGACGACTGGCGCCACTATCTCGAGGGCCTACCCAATCAGTTCGAGATCGTGACCGATCATAAGAATCTCGAGTACTGGCGCACGTCACAGCACCTCACGCGTCGTCAAGCGCGATGGTCACTGTTCCTGGCTCGCTTCGACTTCCGCATCACGCACAAAGCCGGGATGTCGAATGGAAAGGCTGATGCCCTGTCGCGACGATCAGATCACCAGATCGGCGATGAGGACGATAACACCGATCAGGTGGTTCTCAAACCGGATCGCTTCCGCATCGCCTCCGCCAGGCGCGGTCATGCCCCAGTGACGGGCGATCAATTGCTTCTGAAGCGCATCAGGG